AGAGTTTTTGGTGAAATTGAAGAATGAAACATAGTTTTGTTTTTCTTCACAACAGTGAAGACTCTCTCGCACTGAGCATTACTGTGTGGAATTATGAGAATAGCCCATAAAACTCTTGCTAGTCTATCATATTTTGGTGTTCCATCAGCTCTTTTTATTCTTTTTAAGGTACCAACAAGGACATCAAGTCTATCTTCTCCAGAACTGGCAAAGTCTTCAAACTGTGCAGCAGAAAATTGGTTCTGTAGTTCATCTAAAGCATCATTATGGCATTCATTTTCTTTAATTGTTAACAAAAATGGAAATTTATCAATAAAAAAACAAATCTTTTCAAAAGATGAATTTTCACTTTGTTTCAAATTTGCCACTTCAGCATTTAAAAGAACTTCATTTGCAAAGGAAACTTCCTTACAATGTAATCACAGGCTGAGGAAAAGTACTTTCTAACACATTACAAAAATTCTTTTTTTTTTTTTTTTTTTCATGATCTTTCAAAGAATTTACAAGTTCCCTGGTTTGATTTCCAATTATAAGATCATTGTCATCCTTTTGATTTGCCAAACTATTATAGGCAACACGAAAACAACACATGTTTTTCACAACAGGACGGCTTTACAAACTTAGTATAAAAGTTCTTTCTAAAAGATCATTAAGAATTTGGATACAGCAGGGCAGATTTTGGCGAAGCTGATTGTAGAAGGGTATTTACAACTTTCAAAAATCTTAATGGTACTTAACACAAATCTGCAATATGCTTTGTTCAAATCCGAAGAAAGAACATAGAAAATCCTTTCCTCTCGGCTAATAGAAGACTGTTTCTTTCCCTTCAACTTCTTTAACAAAGTTGACCTTTGAGGAGTCTTCTAAGCATTTTCTTTTTAAAGGGTTTGATTCTGTGTGTTGGCTTTTCCCTTTTAAAGCATTTTGATTAGAAGCAAAGTTGGTTTTCGGAATCTTATATACCGACAAATTTGATGGGATCTGTGGTTTCATTTTGGTCTCTTCGTGGAAATATTTTAGCAATGCATCCCACTGTTCAATAAACCTTCCTAGCGCTCTGCCTAAGGATAACCATCTCGTGCATACATGTTTCAGAATTCTTCTCGTTTCACCAGAGCACAGTTCTTGGAAATTCTTTAAGTTTTCTTTTCTTTTTACACTTTTTTCCAGATAGAAAACCATCAATCAGAAGCTGGTCAATATTTAATGGTAAAGCAGCTGCAACTTTTTCTGCTGCCAAATTAATTAAGTGGCATGGGCATCCAATAACAATTAATTCATTTTGTTCTTTTTTGAAGAAAGAGGCTACACCCTTTTTGTCACCCACCATGACATGAGCATTATCTGCACCAAATGAAATGCAGTTTGATATTTGGATGTTAAGTTGTTTCAACTCATTAATTACCAAGGAGGCAATATTTTCCCCAGTCCATTTAACAATGGAAGATGCAAAGATGAGTTTTCATTTCATTAGAAACATCACAGAAATATGTGACAATGCTGAGGTAAAGCTTTCAGTCGCTGTTGTTGCTGCCATCGATTGACACCGAAAATGCTGAATTCTAGAGTGCAGCTATCGTTTTACTTTTTGCATCGCAAGCAGTTTCGTTCACAATAGAAGATGTTTTTGTGCGAGCACAAGCATATTTCTGAGCAATCTTGGAGTCGGGAAACATCCGTCTGAAAAGTTGACCGGCGTGATCGGCAGCGCTTAGGGCATGTTGTGTTCGATGAGGAATGCAGTAAACAAACACTCTGCCAAAATGACATCGGCATCCGAATTCATAGCCGAATTTGAAAAAAAAATCATCCACTTTCTTTGACGTTGTCGAAGCCGAAGCATTAACTTCATGCTTTTCAGACTTAACATGCTTCACAATATCGCTTCTTCCACCGTGACTTATTATGAAGTCACACACGCACACGTTGCAAAATGCATAATTATTTCCTTTGAAGGATTCTTTAATTGTTGGAAATTCGGCTTTGTAGGCAGGCCGAAAATATTGAGAATACGGTTTTTTTTAACTCATTTTGTAACAACGGCATATTAAGAAAATTTGTAGCACATGCAAACCAAAAAAAAAAAAGAAGAATGCGACAATCCACACTCGCTGAGTAATTCCCTTGCTGCTGAAGCAAACGCGAAAAAAATATTCTGGCGTCCACAAAGAAAAGAGTGGGAGAAACAAGTTCAGCGCATTGGATTGGCTGGTTAAGCGGCGAGTTGGGAGAAACTGCAGGTTACTGGATTCGAAGTAGTCGGTAGTTGGCGGTAAAACACGATGCAATAGGCAAAAATCGCTGAATTGGCGAAAAATTCTAAAATTTCAACAAAAATAACTAAAAACACTTGAAAAAGGGAAAAAATTGTAAAAAATGGATTACTATCGTAAAATCGTAACAACAAACGCATTTCGTAAAAATTACGAAAAATTCGTAAAAGTTGGCAGGTATGTAATTATTTAAATTACTAAAGAATTGTTTTCCAGTTGTTTTGGAAGTTTTAAGAAATTGTTCATTCACACAATTCTAAAATTGTATTTCAATAATTTACAATGATAATAACAGTGGAATTAATACGAATATATAGTGTCCATAATTTTGACTGCACTGAGTTGACAACCCTACTGGAACGCTGGTGTTCTGGAAAAAATAGCAATGTAAAGCCACGATTCCCAACTTTGTTCATATCTGATACAACCTAACGCAAGAATTTCTTTAAAATAAATAAAAAAAGAGAGAGAGTTGTATAATTACACATAAATTAAAGAAAAAAGAAACACAGAAATGAGAAGCATTACAAAAACAAAAATGCACATAAATTTTCCTTAAAAAAAACTATCGACTTTTCTGTTTCTGTTTATTGGATAACAATTTTTCAAATTGTGATACTTTGGCAAATAACGTAAAATATGTATAAAGCTGATTAGCAGGGACCCCCCAAAAAATATGTAACATAAGAATATTCAATATTTATTAGAGACAGACATGAAATGAACAAGGCAAAAACACAAAATCACTACACAATTAACCCCTTAACTGCCGCGGGCGTATATATACGCCTTGCTCAGCCGATGCGTTAACTGCCCCAGATGCGCAGCCGATGCGTTAACTTTGCGAATAATTTTAGGTGTAGCAGCGCAAAGCAAATGATAGCAGTTTGGAAGGACGTATATATACACCTGGGGCAGTTAACGCATCGGCTGAGCAAGGCGTATATATATGCCCGCGGCAGTTAAGGGGTTAAAGGTACTAGTAAATTAAGGTACAATTAAAGGCCGTTTTCCCGGCGCAGGCGATAAATTCGCCAATAATGGTAAAACTGATGCCAAGCGGAATATCCTAGCTGGTAATCTTTTACGCCTCATTTTCAAAACAAGTCGCAGCCATTTCTTATCAGATTGATTGCCTTTCAATATTGGCATACAATTACATAGCATTTTTACCAGATAGTTCAATTTTATGCCCTAAGGCCATTCGTGGTAATTAAGTCAATTAGGATACAATCACACCGCTCACCCGAAGGCGAAAATACAGAAAATGCAAATTCAAGGGTTAAATTCATCAATTCTAATGAAAATGCACTAGCGAAGTAAAGCACTGCAGTTTTACATAATTTCTGAGTAAGATATTCATACAAAATGAAATAATTCTAACTATTTCGTACGAATTTAATAATTTAAACTTGTATTCCAGATTCAGATTTAACTTGAAATAAATGTAGATAATTACTGAGAAAATTTGCTTTTTGTAATGTAGTTTACATGAGATGAGATCACTTGGGGTCATGTGATATAAACCGGCGAATCAGGATGTTGAACCATGAAAGCACAGTAAATTCTTAAATTAATGTCTTTATTTATTGGCTTTTTACAAAATTTTAAACGATATTAAAATGTTTATACCTTTAAAATAAAAAATTCTTAGAACCATTACCATTCAAATGTTAATTCGTTAAAATTTTTTATGTGTATACTGTATGTTGTCACCAATAAAGTCTGCTTGGTGAGATTTGCGCAGGTGAAATGGAAAAGTATCGAATTAATTAATGTGCACTTTGTCACAATGGTTCGGAACCTCTGATGTGTAGGCTAATCATACAATAATATATTTTTTAGTCAGCTTGAAGGGTTCCTTAAGATATGAATATTATTTTAAAAGTTCTATAATGATAAAAAGATCAAATTATACTACACAGACACTAGGACAGATCAAAGGAAAATCATAATTTGAATGTAGATTGAAAGGAACTTTTACAAGGTGGCTACAATTTATAAGTATAGAAAGATTTTGAAAAGTTATATACATTTATTGCTAGAATATCATATTTTACATTAGTAGTGTCTATTACAAAACACTGTTGCCAAAATAAAATCATCATCGATGATTCATAACTACTTATTTATATGAATAACACCGAAGTTCTACAGAGCACAAAAGAAAGTCTGCATGCATTTTATCTCACATTAAACTGTCTCAGACTATAAACATTAGACAAAAATTATATCTGAGACATAATTAAATATGTAAATATTACAAGATGGATAAAACTGCCTAGCAATATGCATTTAAAGTTAGGAAAAAAATTTCAATATTTTGCAGTGTGAACCAATGAAATTGAAATAAGATCTTAATTGCATAAGGCTAAAATCTTTAGTTTGCAAGAAGCACAATTCTCATGCAAATTAAAGTAACACTATTTTTTAAACAGGTATATACTTCATACAACAATTAAAAGGTAGGTTTTTAAATTGTATTGTTTTTTAGCAATTTAAAAACAATATTAACATGTTTAAAAAGAGAAAATAATACAAATTACTACTTCCATTACATCAATTTGAGTTGCGATCTACATTCTAAGATTTTAAATTGCCAGAAGCAATATCATACTACATTTGACATGCACATAAAAGTTATGTTCCATACAGTAAAAATTGAAGATTTTTTTCCAATGAAAAAAGCTGTTGTTAAAAAGAACAATATATCAGGCTAGAACGTACCTCATGAGATTTACTAAGCTTTTCAAGATGATTTTCATTAAAAATAAATTCTGAAGCTTTCAGCTTACAATAAACCAGTGCTTCATTGTCATAACCTTCGGCTTTCTTTTTGGGCTGGGTTAATTGAAGTATTTTGGCTTTAGTTTCATTTTTTTCTGGAACATCTTTAAGTACATAAGAAGGATCAAGGAGCTTCTCATCAATGTGATCAGGAGCCAAATAACCTTGGCAGATAACAAATATTTCAGCAGACTCATTACGAGATGCTTGAGGCTTCGTTACATGCACCTAATAGCAAAGAGTTACATGAAAAGAACAGATTAATTACTTGATAAAATAAAAACTTGATAAATAACTTGATAAAATTCAGTGCCTGATATATACATCAGAAAGCTGATTAGGATACTAGTGTCTAGACTAGAAGAGAAACACGCTAATGTGACAATCAAAATCGTAAAAACAACCCTGTATTTAGGGTAAGTATATATTGAAACACTCAATCGATTTCGAGGGCAGCTAAAGGTCCCTCCTCATCAGGAGAAAGAAATACCTAGAAAGAGGAAAAATAAAGGGGGAAGGAGTCTCAGAAACACGTGGTCCTTATCGCACTGCAGTTAACCGGATTTTTAATCAGAGTTACACTGGCCCCTACTTACTGGCCAGGCTATCTGATCAACACAAAGGACAAGAAAATTAGCAAAGTTAAAAATAGGGAGCGTGAAGGTGCAGTTGTCCCTCGCTCCCTAACTTCAGTGTAACTCTGATTAAATAATCCGGTTTTAACCACGTGCAGTGCTGATAAGGACCACGTGTTTCTGAGACCTCCTTCCCCTTTATTTTTCCTCTTTCTAGGCATTTCTTTCTCCTGATGAGGAGGGACCTTTAGCTGCCCTCGGAATCGATTGAGTGTTTCAATATATACTTACGCTAAATACAAGGTTGTTTTTACGATTTTGATTGATACTAGTGTCTGTCATCTGATATGCTGCTAAATGCAAAATTTGTAACCAAGTCAGAAATCTCACTTTCGATGATATTGTTACACTATAAAGTTACAGACTAATGATAAAACTATATATCACAATACAAATATTAGCCTTACAACTGATTATAAAACTCCGATGGACACTTTTGTCTTACCCATTACTGGGAAGTTCAGCTGGTACTAAATTGTGATTACCTGTCAATAAAAATTTGCCTTCTTGTTGCAACTATATCGATCTACCAAGAAGCTAAATCTTTAGATCTCAACAGGTTTACTTACCCTGGATGTTTTCTTCATATATCTATAGGATTCAAGAAATAACGAAATGGAAGTTTTGAGCATTTTCAAAACTCACAGAACATTGCTGAAAAGTTGAGAATGTACTAATTCAAATAATATAAAATTATACAACCTTTAAAGAAAATATGTCTGGAAATACAACAATTAAAAGACAGCAACAGAAGAGTAAGAAATATTACGTAGGAAACTGGATCACATTTCCAAAAGCTATGTAATCTACTTACTGTTGTTCATAAGAAGTAAATTTTCATTCATATTTCGCCCAAAGAAACTGTAGATTGTGAACTGTACCTTATATTTTGATTACTGACTAAATAATATCGAAAGACGGTAAATGGTGAAATAAAAATCATGTTTACTGATTTTCACAAAATTTCTGAAAAACCGGAATGAATTCAGTAGATTTAGAATCTGATTACACTCCACCACAATATCAAGTACATGAGTTTATACATAAAACAGCACTGCAATAGCATTTCTTTTCACTGAATTTTTCTATATGTTATTTTACTTGGATTGGATTATTGGATTATTCAGTTACGGCAAAGCACACGAGGGCTATCTGCCTAAAGGGAGGGATGTCTTTCGTGGAGGACTTTCTAAGGGAAACTGTCTCGTATACACGTTACACATGGGGAAAACCACGAAAACGCCCATGCAGCCAGCCCGTTCGCGGGATTCGAACCTCAGACCGAACTACCAGTGTTCAGCGTCTTTACCACTCGGCCGCTGGTGGACTGTTATTTTACTTGGAAGATTGAAGTTAGTACTCTACTAAGGATCTTAATACAGTTCCAATTAACCCAAATTTTAACCTTGTTGCCAAGAGTGTCTCATAAATCCAACACAATATATTTGCATAAACTTCTGTCGTACAGTAGCCATTGTAAAAGAAAATCATTGCTTTTGTGAGTAACTGCATGGTTGACCATCCATTAAAAACCAACCCTACTTAATACCTCAGTAACATAATGAAAGAACACTAAGTAACATAACGAAATTTTCAACACAAATCCATCTATAAATGCTTACATTATTGATATATAGGTGCCCTTTATGATCATTTTCAAACATTTTATTACATTACAAACATTTTATCATTTTCAAACATTTTATTTTTATTACAAATGCATTTCCTTGAAAAAATATTTTATACAAGTCTGTATCATTTTAGTTTGTATACAGCAGAATTTAAAAGGTTAGTGCATAGGAAAAAAGAACCCTTTTCAACCCATATTAACACAAATGGCAAACAAACTATATGTAAGAATACCAACAAAAACTACATATAAGAAATAAGAATAAATAAGAACTGAATGCAAATACTAAACATAAATATAATTCTCTTATTTTACATTTGTCATTTTTGTGCATCTTCTGCTGGTATATTTGTTTTCATGTCACAGGGCTGCACTTAATCATTTTCTTTGACCATGGCTACTACAACAGAAAGTATATTGCTGAAATTTATGCTGAATTTTTAAATCTTGCTCTAATTAACTACATCAAACTTCATCATACAGTCAAAATACCTATTATGTTATTTGTCTATCATGTTGCAACATACCAAATTTTAGGTACATTTCAATTTCTACCCCCTTCCTCCAAAAATGCAACAGTATAATAAAAAGTATCATGTTTAGTAAATTGACAATCTCGAATGGAAACTTTCCAATAGTCCAGAAACTTCAAGAAGTAATCAATACTTTAATTTGGAATTATGATCAAGAATTCTCTAGATTCCCTGCTTTTCCCACATGCACTTTAAATGTACACTGCGCAAAAAAGGGGCGGACAGTTCTATATCTCCAGTTCTACTGGGCCGATTAACAAAATTCAAATTGATTTTTTCATGTCTCGAAAGCGCAACTTAGGATATATATTAGATTTATCCATAGCACTATTCTAACATAGGTATTTTGACATGAAATCAGACTTTTTCTGAAATAACATACCAATGTTTTTACATATTTCGATTCTACGACTCAAATTATGCCATACTGCCAAGTTTTGTAAAAATCGTACGAGTAGTTTTTAAAAAATTAGCTCTCAAAGTTTTAACTCCTCAGTGTTAATTGAATTTGTCATATATTTATTAATATCTCTTTTTTTTTTAAACTTTTCGATTTTTCCTTTCACATTTCGAAATTTAGGTTCATTCCAAATAAAATTCACCCATTTTTTGTGTTTTATTTTTTAAATTTCTATTTTTAAATAATTTTATAAATTTTCTGAAAAAAATTTTGAATTATAACCTATAAAATTTTTACCATCATCTTAAAGTAGGTGTAGTTCTAAGCGTGCGTACCTATAAGAAATTAGTTTTTTATTCAAAATTTTCTAAGATATCCACGAATTTACATATTTTTGCGTTTTGAAATTTGGCATCTTTTTTTTTAGCGATAATAACGCAAAATGTGGTTTATAGGCTTTGTTACAGTGAATTGCGACAGTTATTTTTAACCTTAAATTTCAAATAAATATTTACGGAGAATTAATTATATGAAATTTTTTCCCTCAATGATGCATAATAAATATTTATTAATATTACAGTCAAAAGTCGTTAATCCGGACACCCATAATCCGGAATGATCTATAATCCGGACCTCAAAGCTACAAACTTTCTGCGCATGCATCAAAGCATAATGCGTTGACGCATGCGCATAGGCCCTTATGCATGCGCATATTCGTGTGCGCATTCACATATAATGTTTCCGCATGCGCGTTTTACGTATAACGGACGGTATAAGCTAAGCTAAAATTATCTAAATATCTATTTCAGATAATGTTGCAGATTGCTTTGTTCCTTAATCTTCTAATTGGATCCGGCTTATTATTTTTTGCAGACTGTTAGAGCAATTTTATAAAAGTAAGCTTGAACTTTCGATTATGTCAAATAGAATTTCCGATGCTGGAGCTGCCAAAGGATCTACAAAGCGAAAGTATGTTTATCCTTGATATTTATCCTTGTATTTTGCTTTAAACTTTATTTATGGTTAAAATGTCTAGAAAATGAAAAGCTGTCTTCAACTGAAACGCAGTTGATGTAATTGATATTTTAAAAAAAATTGACGAGAATGCAAAATTTTTGGAAGTGTAACAATAAAAAAATCTTAATTTTCTTGTGGTGAGCATTGAAAATAAATGTAGAAGGAATGAAGAAAATTAGGGAGAAAAGTAAGCAAACATTTTAAGAGAATTTGGCTGTCAGAAATACCAAGGTGTTTCGAAAAGTTGGGATGCTTTTGAATATACTTTCAGAATACTTCAAGAAATTTGGGTGTTCAAAGAGAAAACACTTGGATGTATACACCAGCAAATACCATTAATTGAGCTTGTGCTGACCGAAAGGACAAAAACAATATCATTGCAGGTTTAAGTGAAGAGCGATTGGTTTTTGACTATATGTTTGTATAAATTTAAATTACGTTATATAACATCATATCATCATAAACGGGGAATCTCATGATTTCTTAGTTGAATTATTTAAATATTCAGAAATTTATCCAGTGATGTATGTGGATATCTCTTAAAGATGTTTTCCCTCTTGATGAAACCAGTCTTTCCTTTCATCTCATGCCTTCAAAATGCTTAGAATCTTAAGACTGATAAAGGCTCTGACCAAATACTGATGAAATGGATTGAATTGGATTATTAAGTTATGGCAAAGCAGGGCTATCTGCCTAAAAGGAAGGATGCCTTTGTGAAGAACTTTCTAATGGAAACCAGCTGGCATACACGTTACACATGAGAAAATCCACGAAAACGCCCATGCAACCAGCTCGTTTACCGGAATTCAAACCCCGGAGCGAACTATCAGTGTTCAGCGACTTTACCGCTCGGCCGTTTGTGGGCCTTTATGAAATGGAAGGTGATAACTTTATTTAAAATGATTTTCAGAAATACCAAGATGTTTCGAAAAGTTGGATGCTTTTTAATATACTTGCAGAATGCCTAAAAAAAAGAGCAAGAATGATGAAGCAAAATGCCTGAAGAAAAAGAGAAGAAAAAATAAATTTTTGAGTAAAATTTAGTATTTGTATTTTTTTTTTAATTTAAAATTTTTTTAATCTTATGATATTTGATTCTTGCGATTTCAAAAATAAAATATTTGACTAAAATATGAATAACATTTTAAGAAACAAAATGTAGGATAAAACTGTGTAAAGCAATGGGCACAATGATGAAACTGTTTAAAGTGTATGCAAGTCATCCTACGTTAAAATGTCGGTTATACATCTCTCTTATTTATATCATATGTTTTCTGAACGGAACAATGAAAGGTGTGTTAACTGTGCTTTACTGTAATTTCTCTTTTAATATATGCAGTTTTCAAACGTATCGTAGTCTGGGTTACAAAGTATTTTTCCGAAAGAAAGGTTATTCAAATAAATAAAATCAAATTCTGAAAAATTTATATTAATAAATATATTTAAAATGCTCAGTTCGAATGAATAAATAGAAAATTTTAAAATAATTATCTGAAGAGACAATGCAACACTAACATTAAATAAAAGTCTAAAAATTAAAAAATTACCTAAAATAATAACTATGACAAAAAATATATATAAAGAAAATTATTTGAAAAAAAAATAAACGACGCACCTTTATTTACGCAGTTCGAATAGGTAAACAGAAATTTCTAATGGTTATTCGAAAGAAACCATGCAACTTAAAAAATTTAAATGAAATTCGAAAAAGAAAAAAAAATTCTTAAAATAATAACAGTTATAATTAAAAATATAATATAAAGAATATTATTTGAAAAAAAGGAACGATTGTGACTTTTTTTCCTCTCACAAGAAAGGAAACTAGGTTGCCATATATTAAGAAGTTCGCCAAGTGAACTACTCTTGGCACAAACTGAAAAAAAAGCACCAACATAAATTTGTAAATTTCTCTATAAATTTCGCGTGTGCGTTTTATGTATAACGGACAATATAAGCTAAAATTATCTAATTATCTATTTCAGTTAATATTGATGATTGCGTTGTTCCTTAATCTTCGAACTGGATCCAGCTTATTATTTTTTACAGACTGTAAGAGCAATTTTATAAAAGTAAACTTGAACTTTTGATTATGTCAAATAGAATTTCCGATGCTGGAGCTCCCAAGGGATCTAGAAAACAAAAGTATGTTTCGATGTCCATCAAACAAAAAGTGGAATTGCGGCAAAAAATGGATAAAGACATGAAGAAGATGATAGACAGGTTAGTGAAAACGAAAAAATTTCGATTGACAAGTTAGTCGGTATTCTCGGCACAGCAATTACGGGACTTGAGCAGCGGAACTTTGTAACTGAACAAGAAATTATGTCTGTTTATAGAATTAAAGAGAAAGTATTATCACATAAAACGAGGCAACTTAAACAACTTACATTGAAAAAAATGTTTAATAAAGTAAACAAATAAATATTAAGCTTTTTTTTATTGTAAATTTTGATACCCTTTAGATCATAATTGTTCTTTATTTCATAAATTATGGTTTCATATTTTTAATTTTAGAATTTCTGCATGCCATTTTACGAGATTTAAACTGATGATCTATAATCCGGAAAAATCGATAATCCAGAATCGCCAAAGTCCCGACGAGTCCAGATAAACGACTTTTGACTGCATAAGGTTTTTTTTCCTGCGTTCTTAGCAACCCTTCATGGTGTAGTGGTCAGCGCACTCATCACGTAATTGAGAGGTCTGTGGTTCGATTCCCGGCGAAGGCATTTGCTAATTTTTCGTCTAGCCTGATTCAAAGAAATAATTAATATCTCTACAGTGGCACCCGAACTAAAAAGGGTGGTATATGCTGATTTTCCCCACCCGGGATTTGGCAATTGGATCCCCTAAAAGCCCCAGTCATCCTTTAAAAGGGGGAATACATAAGGTATTTCTCCCACCTTCTTAACGAACCTTCATGATGTAGTGGTCAGCACACTCAGCACGTAATTGAGAGGTCCATGGTTCGATTCTCGGCAAAGGCGTTGCTAATTTTTCATCTCCTCTGCTTCCAAAAAATACCTTATGTTTCTACAGCTATTTAAAGCAATATATGCAAGTCATCCTAAGTTGAAATGTCAGTTATACATCTTTCTCATTTATATATCTTTTCTGAACGGACATTGAAAGGCGTGTTAACTGTTCTTTACTGTATTTTCTCTTTTAATATATTCAGTTTCAGATTCATTGTAGTCTGGGACACAAAGTATTCTTCCGAAAGAAACTCAATTCAAATAAATAAAATGAAATCCTGGAAAATTTATATTAATAAATATATTTAAAATGCTCAGTTTGAATGAATAAATAAAAAAATTTTAAAACAATTATCTGAAGAGACAATGCAACACAAACAATTAAAATAAAAGTCTAAAAATTTAAAAATTACCTAAAATAATAACTATGCCCAAAAAATATAAAGAAAACTATTTGAAAAAATAAATGATGCACCTTTTATTTAAACTGCGCAGTTCTAATGGGTAAATAGACATTTTTAAAACAGTTATTTGAAAGAAACCATGCAATTTTATTTAATGAATTTTACAGTTTCCTGGTGGTATTCAAGTATAGTGCAACTGTGCATATATAGTTATTCATCAAACAATCTTTAATTTGGAAATTACAAAATACTCACACGTTTAAAAAATTTCTTGAAAACATATATAAGACCTAAATAATCCTTGGAACGAAAGACTTTAGTTACAAACCAGCCTCCTCTGACCAACATTTCTGAAGCCAATTTTAATGCACTCACTGTCAACTGATCTATGACAAAAATACAAGAAGTCATTAATAATAAAAATAGATAGGGAATAATTCAGTGGTAATAACTATATATAAAATCTACATACTTTGTAAAAAGGCATCATGTAACCAGCTCTTTCCCACATTTGGAGCACCATCATTGAGCACTACATCAGCTTTCCAAGTTTTCAGTTCTTTTTTTAGAGCCTAAAGTACATATTACAATAAATTTCAATACTTCAAAAGAAAAACAAAATATAATTTAATGTTTCTAAGCGTCATCTTACTTGTCTGCAACTGTCAGTGGTGATATCCTCTTGCAAGGTTATCACATTTGGAATAGGTTTAATGGGCACTATATCAACACCTATTCGAAATGAGTAATAACTTGATTATATTTCATACATAAACCATATTTACAATACTTATATAATCATTTTATAATATTTCAGTTAGATACTTTTATTGTTTAAGTTGAAAAGAAATTTCAACAAATAAACAATCAGGGATGTGCACAAAATATTTAAATTCAGAATATCAAAAATTATTACATACCTAGACTTATGAATGAAGCATAATTAACAAAGGAAAAGTAACGAATAAACTCATTTCAGGTACAAGATAATCAGTGCATATCATTATAATTATTTACTACTCATTACTTCACAGAACTCAATGAAAGGAGTATCCAATAATTTGCATTCAGATTTATATAAAAAGAAAACTAGAAATAGAAGTTATTATTAGAACCCTATATAACAAATAAAGCTTCATAGAGTAAAGAGAACTTTTAAAAATGTTAGTAATATGGTGTTTTTTTTTTTTTTTTTTTTTTTTTTTTTTTAAGAAGCAGGAGAGATGAAAAGTGCACAATGCCCTTGCCGGGATTTGAGCTCTGGACCTCTTAAATATGGGATAAGTATGCTTCCAGTTACACTAATATTATTGCTTAAGAATATCTTTGCTAGAAAGGGCAATTATTCATTACAGTCAAAAGTCTTTAATCCGGACTCGTCGGGACTTCGGCGATTCCGGATTATCGATTTTTCCGGATTATAGATCATCAGTTTAAATCTGGTAAGATGGCATGCAGAAATTATAAAAATTAAAAAATATGAAACCGTAATTTATAAAATAATGAGCAATTATGATCTAAAGGGTATCCAAAATTTACCAAAAAGAAGCCTAATATTTATTTGTTTACTTTATTAAACATTTCTTTTAACGCGCGGATGCGTAAAGCATACCTTACTCATAGCCGAAATTAGAAAATTGCAACCAGAAAACTATGTGATTTGTATTCGTGATATTTATAATGACGAGGAATTTGATTTAAATCATATCAAAGACGGAGTACATCGAAATTAAATACTACATTTAGTAAGGAATTATAAGCCGACTAAAATAAAAACATCTGCCCTGAAGATAACGATAGTGTTGACAGATCAACTTCCAGTTCATTGCGCGCCGCGACGTGCCCCCCCCCCTGCGCAGAGCAGCGTGAAATTGATAAACAGATTTCGGAACGGTTAGATAAACAAAGGATATGCTTTTATCCATTTTTTGTAGCAATTCGTTTTTGTTTGATGGACATCGAAACATACTTTCGTTTTCTAGATCCTTTGGGAGCTCCAGCATCGGAAATTCTATTTGACATAATCGAAAGTTCAAGCTTACTTTTAGAAAATTGCTCTTACAGTCTGCAAAAAATAATAAGCCGGATCCAATTTGAAGATTAAGGAACAACGCAATTATCAACAATAACTGAAATAGATAATTAGATAATTTTAGCTTTTACCGTCCGTTATACATTAAACGCGCACGCGAAAACGTATTCTGCACTTGCGCAGATGCATATGCCAGTTGTAAATGTCTTGCGCGCATGAGTAAAACGCCTATGCGCATGCGTCAATGCGGCGCATGCGCAGAAAGATTTTATCTTTGAGGTCCGGATTATAGATCATTCCGGATTACGGGTGTCCGAATTAACGACTTTTGACTGTATCATTATGTGCATACATATGCACATGTTATTTACCCTATACTATTTTATAACATGAAACATCATGCAACAGCAACTCTGACATAAACTATAAAAGTATGAAAAACACAGTCCCCATACATTAAGTATCCATAATTTCAGTTATCTATGGTCACAATGGAGGGGGGGGGAAGTTCTCTGAAGTTTGAATATATAAACCAAATGATAAACAGCCCACAGCCAAAGTTGAATCACCAATCTCAAGATTATTACTTGAGATTACCTTACTTATTTATATTATTATTTACTTATTTGTAATGGCAAATTTGTCAATAAAACTTTACTAAATTTATATCTGTTAGATGGAAATCCTTTCTATACAGAGTGAATCTGAACAAGTGGGCAAAACTTTAGGGGGTGATAGAATGCAGATATCTGAGTAATATTTGTCACAGGACATATGGTCCGAATTCAAATGGCAAGCCACTAGGTGACATTGTTAATAAATGATATAAAAAGGGTCCTCGCCCCCAATGACATTTACTACCATGAACTGCCAGTTATACAAACCATGAAATTTCCAGGGTGATGGGTTGATTGAGGTGGTCCCATTGCTTGCCCCCCAAGGTCACCAGATCTCTTGTGTTTGGACATTTTTCTGTGGAGCCATATGATGTGGAAATTATTTTGATCAATTGATAGATGGCGATAGCATTGCGTGTTAACGCGACGTGCCTTCTGAATTTCCATAGACTCTCCACCGGCAGTTCGATAGATGGATGTTTGATGCTTCGCACACTAGTTGATTAGGAACACTATTTCAAAGATTTTGATTTTCGATTATGAAAGCATATAGATTGGTTTATCAACTTAACCACCATGTTTTGATCAATGATCTGAAAATACTGTACACATTAAAAGTTACATTTTAAATGTGATTGATGTTGACTTATAGTGATCTTAGAATATTTTGAAACAGTTAGTGCATAACGCCGAAAATTGGATTCAGCACATTGCAAGTGTGCGAAGACAGCAAAAGGTAAGACAAAATTTTCTCATTTGTAGAGCAGGGATGTCAAACTCATAGGTACACTTGGGCCAAACAAACAAGGTTTAACTTTAGGCAGGCCGCAAAAAAAAAAAAAAAAAAAAAAAAAAAAAAATCAATATTCATAGAAACTTAGATTTATTTTGAATAATACATATATATATACAGTGGATGGACAAAAATATGGAAACACCTTGTGAAATGCATGTTTGAAAAGAAAGATTGATTTTAATGAAATATGTAGGTGGCGCTGGCATTTTTGATTACTTACGCCACCTATACAACTTCGTAAATGTGCTAAATAGTTCAGTTGTTGTCGGAGTACTGTTATGTGAGGTTGTCATTGCATTATGTCAGAGTTAACAGACTTCGAACATGGGCAAATTGTTGGAGCACGTATGGTAGGTGCTTCTGTAAGCAAGGTAGCCGAGGTGTTTAGTGTTTCAAGAGGTACTGTATCGAAGATTTACTCCGCATATTTGAAAAGCGGAAAAACATCATCTGCTAAATCACAGCGCGGACGAAAGTGTGTCCTGACGTAAGTGATCGTGACAGACGATCATTAAGGGCAATTGTGACGAAAAATAAGAAGACCACAGCTGCAAAAGTTACTGCTGAAATGAATGTTGTGTTACCGAACCCTGCGAGTACCAAAACAATTAGAAGGGAAGCTTCATAAACAGGGAATTGCTGGCCGTGCTGCAATTGAGAAGCCACTCATCAGTGATGCTAATGCCCGTAACAGGAAAAGGTGGTGTTAAAGTCATAAAGCCTGGACTATAGAGCAGTGAAGCGAGTAATATGGTCCAACGAGTCTTCTTTCACATTGTTTCCCACTTCTGGCCGAGTTTACGTCTGGAGAACGCCATCTCAAGCCTATAAAACAGACTGCTTGTTGCCAAGAGTGAAACATGGCGGGGGTTCTGTTATGGTTTGGGCAGCCATATCGTGGTTCTCTGCTAGCCCCATGATAACTGTGTCAGGGCACATGACTGCCAAGACTTATGTGAACATTTTGGACGATCAAGTTCATTCCATGGTACAAACTTTGTTCCCCCCCGATGGTGATGGTGTCTTCCAAGACGACAAAGCCCCTGTTCACACAGCTCACATTGTCCAGGACTGGTTTTCTGAGCACGAGGATGAGTTGTCCCATCTTCCCTGGCCACCACAGTCACCAGACCTGAGTATTATCGAACCTCTGTGGTCTACATTGGAACGAAAAGTGCGTTCTCGTTATCCACCGCCAACATCCTTATCTGAACTTGCCACCATTTTGCAGAAAGAATGGTATAATATTCCCTTGGCAAACATACAGGAACTGTATTTATCTATTCCGAGAAGACTGCAAGCTGTTTTGGATGCCAACGGGTTTCCTACACCATATTAAGCAAAGAAACATGTTTTTTTAAAGGTGTTTACATATTTTTGTCCAACCCCTGTATATATATTTATATAGAAAAGAACAAGAAAAATTTAATGTTTACGTCCTGATACTTGACGTCTCTTCTCTGTTATTATCTTTCCTATTTCGGGAGAAATTTTGTTTGCAGTGGTAAGTTGTTTTTCCCAAAGAAGTAGTTGACATTTGAATGCTTTAATTATGTCAAACATGTTCATAATGATATGATCTTTACCTTGTAACGATAAATTTAAATCGGTTAAGTGTTTGGTTATATCAACCAAGAAAGATAAATCTTGTATCCATATTGATCGTAAAACAAACTTACGTCTTGATTTTTCGTTTTTAAACACTGACATATTTCTTCTTTCAAATCCCAGAATTGTTTGAGAATCTTGGAGCAAGATAACCAATGTACCTCGGTATAGTAGGACAAACCCAAATATTCACTATCTAACTCACTTAAGAAAGCAGTGAATTGACGCTGATTTAAACCTCGAGATCTTATAAAATTTATAACTTTTTTTATATATGACAAAACATTCTCCATATTTATTACTTCCGTGCATAGAACTTCTTGATGTATAATACAATGCATATGATGAATGTTTGAACCGTGAATTTCACTAAGTTTTTTTCTTAGTAATGCTTCGAAGCGCTTGTTTTTCCCGGTCATTGATGGAGCACCATCTGTAGCTACAGAATTTAATTTTGCCAAAGGTAGATTGTATTTCTGCAGATCAGTAACTCTTTCCGCAACTGTATTTCGAGACAATGAAATTGATTGAAAAGCCTTCACATTTCCAGGACAAACAATTTCTCCAGCTTTCATTAGGCATTCCTCGATGAAATCACCGTCAGTAAAAGGCTTCGAATTTTAGCTATCAACTCGACAAGACGTAGCTTGCATGTACGCCGCTTTCACTTTCTGCAATACTTTACTAAACATGGACTATTGCTTTTTCACTCCTAACTTGAGCTCTTTCAACTTTTCTTCTCTCATTAACCTTCGTAATTGTTATATTTCGATTTGTGTTGTTCGTAATGACGTTTAATATTATAACTTTGGTACATTAATAGTATTATTACATATCAAGCAGATTATTTTATCTTTTATTTCACAAGCAAAAATTCTAATTCCCATTTTACTTGGAATATTCTATGTTTCGTCAGCGATTTTTCGTTTAATTTTACTTCCACTTGGTTTTGATATAGACATACTGAATACAAAGGGCTGGAATAACACGGTTAACGTTAAAAGTTAACAAAAATTTATTCTTTCCACAAGAGATAAATCAAAATGCTGAAATATTTCTTCAAAAATATTCTAACAATATCACAAAATGTCAAACGTTTAGCAAAAATAAATTCAAAACAGAGAAACTAATTCTATCTCACAGCAAAATCGCTACAAATCAATCACAGCATTAAGTAAACAAACAGTTCGCTAGAACTACAGCTACTACTGAGATGAGTTGTTTGTTCTCGGCTTTTATAAGCTTTATAATTAATTTCTCGAATATACTAGAAACATCTATAAATATCTGGATTTTTGTGGATGACAACAGCAATTACGAGACATTTATTAATTAGGTATTAAATGCACGCGCTGTTCTATTTTTAACCTTCCAACGCAGCTGTCTTTTCAAAAATCGTTTGCGTTGCTAAGGCAACATAAAGCAAATCTAATTACAATTCTAAATAAAAAAAACTAAAATAAATAACTATGAAATCCGTAACAATATGAATTAAGTAATAATTAAAGCAAAGTGCATGCACATGCATGCACCAATATATCGTACAAAACTATGATTGGAAAACTGAGACTATGAGTTCGGCCACATTCGGCTATCGGGGAATGCGTACAAGTTCTGAGTACATGTGTCCCCCAAAAGGCGAAGGTAGCTGAACGCAAGCTACTCACACGCATTTGTAATTTAAGTAGTGTGTGTGTCAGCTCGCTGTGAGTAATCTAACAACACTGAATAAATTATCGTTAATTACTTAGCAGTAAACATTCATTTTTTTTTTCTTCGTCGATATGTTATTTTATTATTATATATTATTATTTGCCGATATATTGGCCGGGTTGCAAAAATATTTGTTGTGGGCCGCGAGTTTGACATCCTTGTTGTAGAGCAACAATGGCAGAAGAGTCTGTTGTTAAATTAAGATCGAAACGCAAAGTTATCAGGACCATCCTGTCTAAGATTCTAAAAAAAATCGAATCGGAGTTGAATAAAGAAGAAATTGATACAAATACATTAGAAAAAAGTTTAGACCAATTAATCACAAAATCGAAAACTGAGTGAATTAGATGCTCAGATAGAGCGTAACTTGAAATCAAAGGCCGAAGAGTTTGAAACAGAAATTCTATCTTGTATCCAATACAAAGAGAAAATTCAGTTATGGCAATTCAGAGCAAATAAAAAATTTAAAGAGTTAAATAAAGTAACAAATTCGGATAATGAAAACTCTCTTAATGAAACTAATTCTAAAATTGAAAGCAATAAATGTACGAGTCTGCCAAAATTAACCATCGCTAAATTCTATGGAGATTATGCCCAGTGGACAAGTTTCTGGAACTCTTTCAAAGTAGCATTTCATGATAATGAATCTTTAACAAAGATCAAAAAATTTAATTATTTAAAATCGTACTTATGTGGCAACGCTGCAAACTCGATGGAAGGTTTTTGTATTTCGGAACCAAATTACGATGAAGTTATTGAAATACTTAAAAACAATTTTGGCAGGAAAGATATCACTATAAACTCACACATGCAAAAACTCCTGAATCTTAACCCAGTAACCAAATCCAGTGACACTTGAAAACTTCGCAAACTTTGCGATACTATAGAAACTCAAATACGCTGCTTGAAATCATTAGAAGTCACGCCGGATAAATGCAGTTATATGTTGATTCTGGCCATAATAAAAACTCTGCTGTCTGATATAACTTTAGAATTCAATCGTAAAGCAGATTCGTCATCTTTTTTTAATGTTCACGAATTATTGCAGTTTGTTCGTTCAGAACTGGAAAGTCGCGAGAGAAGCCATCTTTTGCTCTCCACTCATAAATCAGAAAACACTTCCTGTGTTTATAAAGAGAAGTGAGGGAAGGGAAGTATCGCCCATTTCACTTACCAGCTTTTGGCGCCGGTTAAAGAAAACAAAACTACTAATTGGTGTCTGTTTTGTAATACA